GACCATCAGAACCTGTCCTGTTGACCCCCCCCCCAAGATTCCAACGTGCACCCCAGGGCTAGTGTGCCCGGAACTAATCTTGCCCCCACCCAGAGCCCTTAGTCCTGGCGGAAGGGGGGCAGGATCCCCTCCTTCCCTTCTAGGCCCTCCAAGCCCAGAGGGAGGCCGGCATCAGAGGCAGGAAATGAAGAAGAATTTGCGATCTAATTGAGCTGGCGGGGGATTAGGCGGCAGAATGCAATTACAGGGGCTGGAGCAGGGCCAGGGGCACTGACACCCTGAGATGTGGCCTGGCCCAGGTGACTGGGCTTACTTAGCAGGGCTCTGGCCGGGGACACCCTGCTGGGAGGGCTGCAGAAGACAGGTAGGGAAGGATTTGGAGCCAGAAGGTTCCTTCCTCAGCACACAAGGACAGCTCCATCTAACACCCAAGAGCCCTGTGGACTCTCACATAGGGAGCAGGCAGATAGGAGTACATGCTCTCACAGGCTCTGTTCATGTATGTACACACATGTGTTGATATTCCCAGAAAAACCCCACCTATGTTCACTTGTATGGAGACAAGCAGACACAGAACTCTGGCCCTTTGCTGCCACTGGCTCCAAAAGGGGTGGGGGTGGGGGGGACTAAAAAAAAAAAAATACCCATGACCTTAAAATCCTTTTATTCCTGTAATCACAGGCTGCCATTGACGTGGATACGTGCTGTCACCCCGGCCCCAGCCTGTCTCCCTCCACGGCTTCCAAAACTCCCAGCAGGCAGGCAGACGGGGAAGCTGCCCAATTACTGCCAGGGAGGGCAGGGGAAAGAAAGACCTGGAGGGGGAGACTCAGAAAGACAGACTGGAAGACAGAGATACAGAAAGAGAAAGGAACACAGCCACCAGCCACCAAGAGCAGACATAGATTAAAGCCCTCACAGCTCAGATATGCCCAGGTTCGTGTTCACACTTTCACAATTCAGATACACCCCTTTAAGAGCACCAGCCGCTCCCAGATTTACAAACGCACAGATATACACGGATCATAAATATACACTCTACAAAATTCCAAGCATATGCAACTCAGAATATACAAATTCCCAGGTTCACAGGGACACATAAATACAATGCAGACACAACTCCTAGATGCCCAGATACACACGCTCAGACTACCACACCCCAAGACAGACACACATTCACAGATCTACATGCCCTGAGTCATAAGCACCCCGGCAGCCTGGGTTCCCACACCCCAGGCCAACAGACTGTCCCCACACAGTCTCCTCTAGCAGCTGACACTGGCTGGCTGTAGGGAGCAGGTGGGATGGTTGGCCATTCCTGGGTCTTTGGGGGGGGGGGGGGGAAGCAGTCCTTTCTCATTGCCTGCAGCCTGGGAGGTGGGTTCAGAGTTGGGGGGAATTAAGAGGGAAGTAAGAGAAAGAAAAAAAAGGAAAAAAAACTTGAGTGGGATATTCTTGTTGGGCAGTAGTGCGTGAGTAACAGGGGAGGCTTTTTGTGGTCTGGTGAGTTCCAGCTATGAGTGAGAGTTTAACTATTAATACACTTAATCAAGGACACGACACGACACTACACACACACACACACACACACACACACACACACACACACAAGCTAGAGGCTAGAATGGGACCAGGTGATGAGGATAAGAGGGAGAGTCCAGGGAGGGGAAATAAAGAAAAACCCCAATCAGGACTGCAGGAGGTGGGGAAAGAGGGCGGAGCTTCCACCCTGGGCCCGCCTCCGGAGCAGGGGCGGAGTCAGTGGTTCATTTCGGCACCCCCCCCCCAGAAGGGTGGGGCTTGACACAAAGTAGGTGCTGGATAAACACACATGGGGCCAGTGAATGAATAAGTGAATTATAGAGAGAGAGCAGGCAATAATAATAGTAATAACAATAACTGCGCCCCACCCCATCCTTGGCCAGGCCTGGGGAGTTCTGGCATCATGGCCACCCCTCCAGTCAGGGGCTCAGAAAGCGTGCCTAGGACTGGCTCCTCAGGATCCTCTCCCTTCTTCCACCTTATCCCGCCCTCTGGAAAGTCAGCTGGCCTCAGACAAGCCCACAATTCTCCCTCCCAAGGAGAACTCCATCTCCGTTCCCCACTCCCATAAGTAACTAGGTGGGATCCTAATGAAGGCGGGGTATTTAATTCCCAAAGACTTGGTTCTTGATACAGATGCAATTCTGCCCACCCCCTCAGCCCACCCCCACACTCCTATGAGCCTCACTCAGTTCCACACTTGCTAAATGGGTAGAAGGTATGCTAAAAACGGGAAAGGGGCGGCCAGAGCTGGGGGTCACAGTGGGAGCCCACAGAACATGGGCCTGCACTGGCTTAGGCCCTGGATGCAGAATCCTCCCCTCCCCTTCCCCCATCCAGCCCAGCCCAGCCCAGCCCAACCCAGCCCAGCCGGGTGGACATTCCAGGCCTCACGTGATAAAGACGAGGCCGCTGGCCCACGGGTAAGTCAACAGGCTCTGCCGGGGGAGATAGGAGGCCTGGGCCAGGGTCACCTGCTGAGCCGAGAAAACAGCCGGGCCCAAACACACACACACATAAATAAGGCGCCAACGGACAGCCAGCCAGCCAGCCAGCCAAGGGTCTGCCTTCTGCAGAGGAACCTTGAAAAAGGAGGTGGCATGGGGGAGGTGCGAGGCCGGCTTAGGGGCTTCCCCGGGAGGGAGAGCTTCAGCATCTGCCAGAATTGGGGATTGAGGCGGGGGGGGGGGGGGGGGGGGGCCGGCGGGGGCCTTTTACCAAGATCTCCAGAGACCAAACTCCCTAAGCAGTTCCCACCCCTTCTCAGGGAAAAGAAAAAAAAAAAAAAATCGTCCCCTCTCCCTCCTCCCCAAGGAGAGAGAACAATTTCCGTTCTGCGAGGGGGGGGTGACAGCTGCAGAGCGGGCCACGAACCCCCCTCGGCCCCCCTCCCCCGGTCTTGCCAGAGTCTCATCCAGAGAAACTGCTAAATCAACACGACGCGGGTAGGTGAGCGGCCTCGGTCTCTCCGCAGCGGTCTCCAAAAGGGGTCTGGGAGACTCCGGGTCCCGTTCCTGGGTTTCCCGCTGCGGGTCGGGGTCTTGGAGAGGGGGATCAGGACGAGCCGAGGCCAACACCCCCCTCCAAAGGTCTCATTGAAATGCTCCGCAGTTGCACGAAGGACACCCCCCGGCCCCCCCCCCCGCGCCGCCGCCGCCCCCGGGGCCGGGGCGGCTGAGGTGGCGCCGGGCTTTCAAACAGCGCTCCCCCCGCCCGCGGCCGCCGCGCAGCCCCCGCCCGCGGCCCCGGCGGAGAACTTGAAAGGGACGCGGCGGCCGCCCGGGGCAGCGCGGCGGGGGCCGGGCCGGGCGGCACTCACGCCCCCTCCCCGCGCTTCCTGCGCCGAGGCGGGGGGAGGCGGGCGGTGCGACACTGCGCGGCCACCGCGGCGCGGGGAGAGGGGGGTCCGGAGGCCGGTTCGCCGGGGTCCCCTGCTGCCCCCCCAATCCGAAGGCGCAACTCTCAGACCACCCAGCGTCCAGGGGCGAAGGAGGGCGCGGCTGCCACCCCACAGACCCCCATAGCAGGAGGAGAGAGAGAGAGAGAGAGAGAGAGAGAGAGAGAGAGAGAGAGAGAGAGAGAGAGAGAGAGAGAGAGAATCTTCCCGGATGAGTATCTACAGAACATCCCCCCCAAAAAAAAAATCCGCCGGTGCCTCCTTGAAGATTATGACACGAACCCAACTCTGCGCACCCCTTCCGATTCCTGAGAGGAAAAGGGGGAGGTGAGGAACAAACAAAATGCGATCTTGCTCACACATCGGGCGCTTCAGCTCTTCTGACAGGTTCCGGGGGCGGCCCCCCGTTTAAAAACGGGGGTCACTCACTTTCTGTCGGTCCTACAAATAAACAAAGCCAGGCGCACCCCGCACGCCCCTCCGGAAAGCAGCGCGTTCCAGGCCGGGACAACTTCCCCCGGCGAGAGAATTAACACGTTCCCAGCGCGCCCCCGGCCCCCGGCCCGCTCCGGGGAGCCCGGGGGAGGGGGTCCGGGCCGAACTTCTGGAGTGAATGCGGGGCCAGGACCGCGAGGCGGGAGCCCGGCACGGCCGCCTCCCGCAGCTCCGCGGGGAGGACACCCCCATTCCCCCTGGCTGTGCGCGCCGCGCGGCCACGCGGGGCTGGGAGGCAGCCCGAAAGCCGCCGCCGCCCCCCCCCCCCCGCCGGAGGGGAAGGGAGCGAGGCCCGGGGCGCGGCGAGGGAGGGGGGCCGTGAGACACTGACGGGAAAAAAAGGTCAAACTCGCTCAGCCCGCCAGGCGCCCTGAGGGCAGCGGGGAAGAGCCGGAGGGGGAAATGTGGCCGCCGCCCGCCCGCTCCGAGGGGAGGGGGAGATCAGCCACGCGTGGTCCGAGACAGCCGCCGTCGCCCCCAAAACGCGGGGCTGAGAGTGGGGTCCGACGGGGAAGCGCGCGCCAGGGGTCGCCCATCAGCCGCCCCCGCAGGCGGAGCGCCCGCCCAGCCCGGGGCGGTGAGGACCCCGGGTCCCGCCGCCCCAACGCCCTCCGGCTTGGGGACTCGGGAAGAGGACGGTACCCCCCGCAGGGAGAGCCCCGGCCCCGATCCGGGGCGCCCAGCCCGCAGCCCCGACCCTAAAACCCCTCTTTTTGTCTGAACTCAGTGATCTGCGACCGCGCCAACTGCGGCGAGGGGAAGCTCGGGCACGGCGGCGGCCACCGCGCGATCGCGGGCGCCGGGGTTCCCAGCCTCCGGGGCTCCGGGACCCAGGCTGCCGGCGCCCCCCACGCCCTCACCCCCAAACGCGGACCCCTCCTTCCCTGTCCCCGCTCTCCGCACCTGAACTTCGGGGGAGCCCGCGCCGCCAAACTTTCCGCCGACTTGCAGCGAACTCCGGCCCTGGCCGCGCACCGGGCCCCGGGGGAGGAGAGGGAGGGAGGCGGGGAAGGGGAGGGGGCCGGCCTCCGGGGGGGTCGGGGGAGGGCCGTGGCTCGACACCTACCGGCTCTCAGAGTCGTCCAAGCCGCCACCGCCGCTGCCGCCGCCGCGAGGACGAGGGGGAGGGGCGGGGCGGGGAGCGGCGCTCCGCTCCGGGCTCCGGGCGCCGCCGCCGCGGTGCGCTCCCCTCCAGCCCCGCCGCCCGCCGCGCCCGGTCCGGAGCCGGAGTCACGCCGCCCGGGCTGGCCCGAGGCGGGGAGGGGGGGGAGCCTGCAGCACCTGCCCCTCCTCCCCCTCCCCGCGGCCCAAATTAAAAAAACAACAAAAAGCAACTAATCACCCCCAAGCAGAGCGCGCCGCGGCGGGCGGAGGGCGAAGCGTGAGGCGCCCGGACTCAGCGGGCGGCGCGCATGGCTGGACTCGGGCTGGCCTGGGCTGGGACGCGGGGCCGGCTTCGGGGGCAAGGTCCGGCTGCTCCTCCCGCTCGGCTCGGGCGCCTGCTCCCGCCGCCGCCGCCGCCGCCTGTGCTGCCGCCGGTGCCGCCGCCTCTACATCCCCGCTCCGGCTCCGCCGCCTCTGCCGCCGCCGCCGCCGCGCGCCCGCCCGGGCAGGAGCTCTGAACGCTGCCCGGGGGCTGCCGGCAAAACCCGGACCGGACTCGCTGCTCCTCCCCCCCCCAACCCCACCCCCGCTACCTCCGCTCCCCTCCCTCCTCCCTCCGCCTCCCTCCCCGCGCAGCACCGGCCACTTAGACGCCGCAGGCTCAGAGGCCCGAGCCGCAGCCGCGGCGCCTCCAGCTCCCCGCGCTGACGAATTGGCCCAGGCTCAGCTCCCCATCACGACGCCTTGTCTTCGCCTCTCTCCCCACAACTTTGCAAAAATAAGAGATACCTCCCCGTTTTATGAGGGGTGCAGCGGCTTGGACACCCACCCTACTTTAAAACCTGCCGTCCCTCCGCCCCATCTGCAGCCGTGCCCCTCCGATCACAGGCTTGTAGGTCCAGCGTCGCCTAGCAGAGGTCTGTTGGAGCTAGACGCAGCGATTCAAAGACCCCGGCTTTCCGGAGCGCTTTCTTGGACTGGGTGGGCTCTGGTTCCCAGGGAGAAGAAGGGCAGAGAGTCCTGTTCCCATTTCACAGATGAGTAAACTGACCCAAGAAAAGACATTTTGCGTCCTATGCCGCCGGTGGCAGCTCGAAGCCCTGAGTCCTGGGGCTAAGGCACTCCCATTTTGGTGCCCTGGAGCCTGTGGCCTACAAAATCCAAGGATAAAATAGTGCCTATCTTAAAACAGCACGCAACAGACACTGATTGAAAGAGATTATAAAAACCCATCGGGTACAGATTTTAGTCCGGCATATCCATGCATGGCTGGTGATATGGCAGAAGTCCTTTTTTTCCCGCCCTCTCAGGGATCCACAGAGTAAAGCCCGGGCTGCTGTAATCCCAAACTGCAGATAATCCCAAAGTGAAAAAATTTCTGTAATTCTGTGGAATTCGTGGGGGTGGGTTTGTGTTTCTTCTTTGAGGCGGAGAAAACACAGCCCCCCGGCCTCCAGGCCCTGGCCTGGGGGGATAGGGAGCAGAGCGGTTAGGGGAAGTCTGCCTTGAGTTAAACAGTTGCAACCCTAGATCAATTGGGGCCCAGATAACAGGGAGTTAACTCTGGTGACCCGGGTGCCTCCAGCCACAGGCCTCCCAGCCTGGCCTCTGTGAGAGAAGCCGTGGGAGAAGCCCTGGGAGAAGCGAAACCAGCTCCCACCTCGCTACTTCCTCTCCTCTGTGCAGCCTGCCTGTCTCCTAGGAGGCGGTGGAGGGCCTTGAGGCCGGTTGTTTAAGGGAGCAGACAGCTGCCCACCCTCCGAGTCTAAATTTGGTGCTGGGACCTTGACATACTTAGCCAGGAGGTAGGGGAGTGAGAGAGGTGTCAAAGGGCAGAGTTCACCTGGAATGTGTTTGCTGCCTTCTCTACCCCTCCTGGCCTCCTGGGCCATAAGGAGTGGTCCCTCCCCAAACACTGTGGACGCGTCCTCCCTTCCTTCCACAAATTCCAAGTGTACTTACTCTTAACTTTATTCAAGGAATGCTTCCTCAGGGGAGATGCTTACCCTTTCCGCTCCTCCCCAGCACCCTTCCTCAGAGTCAACCCGAGCAAACATGCTATGTGAGCAAAAGCAAGGTCCTTGCTCTGGGGACACAGTTTTAGGAAAAGTAAACACCTCTGATCACCCCCTAAACTCCTTAAAGACACATTCCAGGTCCCATCCTGATGCCAGGTACCACGTTGGCACTGACCATACAAAGAAAAAGGAGGGAGGACCGAAACCGGTTTGGCTCAGTGGATAGAGCGTTGGCCTACAGACTCAAAGGTCCAAGGTTCGATTCCAGTCAAGGGCATGTGCCTTGGTTGCTGGCACATCCTCAGTGGGGGGTGTACCAGAGGCAGCTGATTGATGATTCTCTCTCATGGATGTTTCTCTCCTTCTCTCTTCCTCTCTGTAAAAATTCAATTAAAAAAAATTTTTTTTAAAGGAGGGAGGGTCCCAGATCTCCTACACTTAGCCCACCACCATCTACCTCTTCTGGGGAAGCTGAGGCACACACTGTGAGGAGGCACCTGTCCCCCAAGAGTTAACAGCAGGCCTCCGAGGACTAGGATCCAAGAAATGAAGCTCAATCCTGCAGAGTTCCTGAAGCGAAGGGTCAGTGCAGAATCAAGTCTGCACACCTAAAAGAAGCTTCATGCTAGCATTCATGGGGGAGGGTGGATAGTGGCTTCCACCTCAGGGAATTACTATTATCCACATTTTTTACTGGGGAACTCTGCCCCCAATTCAGAAGAGCAAAGCCACGGGCTGCAGGCTGCAATAGCCATGAGCCAGGGGATTCCACAGGTGACCTCGGAGTAGGGGTTTTGGTGCACACCTGCCCCGGTTCAGAGGATGGATCTAGGAGTCTTCCCCTGCTCCTGGAAATTAAGAACTGAGGGAGATCCAGACCCTCTCCTATCCAGCCCAGGTAGGAACCAGAGGGGAGAAGGGCAGAACTGTGGACATGGGAAATGCAACGTGAACAGGAAATGTCATGTGCAAACCATCCACACACAACTCTCCACCATCACAAATGAGACAAGTGGGGGGCACCCAGGAAGGACCCAATGCCAGTCTGGCCTTGGGGGAGATCATCCCCATTTTAGCCCCCTTCCATAGGATGTGAAGCCACTCTGATTCACTCTTTGTCCTCACTCCCTGCCTCCAAAGAGGAATATTTAAGTTTCACATTGTTATTCAGCCAGTTTAGATTCAGGAAGCAAATGCCTTAAGTTCCCAGCACCTTTGGAGGAGAGAGGGACCTGTCTTCTAGGAAGGAGTATGTTTAGCACAACGCTCTCTTGGGGCAGGGCATTGTGCTAACCAGCTCAGGTGCATTATCTCATTTAAGCCTTACACCAGCCCCAGCAGTAGTACCATCCCCATTTTTCAGACGAGGAAACTGAAGTGAGACTGGAACCAAAGTTGTTCTCCTAACCTCTGAGCTTGGCTGTCCTGGCGAGGCTTCTCACACACAGATCTGCCCTGAGGTTCACTTGCTTTGCATCCTGTAGTGATTCCCCAGAGCCCAGCAGGCTCAGCCCGCGCCCCTTCCCCGGCTGGACCTGGCTTCGCTAACCAGCCCTATGCCCCCCCGGAACCCCTGGGCCCCGCTGACCAGTGACACCCAACGCTAGTGGCTAGTGGTTCCCTCTAAATCCCCAACACTCTTCCTTCAGGTTTCCATGGCTTCACATGCTCCCTCTGCCCAGAAGGGCCATGATCAAGCCTATCCCATGAACTCCTCAATGAAGACCAACAGCATGTGTCACCTCACTGGGAACCTGTTGGGCCCGTATCTACAGGCCACCATTAGCCTTTGTGCAAATTATAAAATGGTACTCCCTTCGGGCAGGTGTACGCACCCCTTTGGAAGGCAGCTACGCTAACCACTATACCACCAACGCCCCATACGCACCCCTTTGGCGGCAGTTCGTGAGCTGCCTTTTCAGTCCTCCTAGCTTCCTTTGTGGGGGGCCTTGTTGCAGTGCCTGCACTGAACTGTGTACTCTGTGGCCAGGCTTGGGGGCCCCTCATCTCTTCCCTCCTATGGCCACAGTGACCACACTGCACAAAAATAGCTTTTATTTACATAGCTGTCTCCCCACCCCCTCATCACCACCACCCATGAAGTCTTTGAGGGGAAGGGGAAATCTACCTGTCCTGGGCCTGGATGGAGCCTGGGCACTAAGTAGGTACCACTAATAACAATTGTAGTCAACATCTTTTAAAAAATATATATATTATTGATTTTTGATAGAGAGGAAGGGAGATAGAGAGTTAGAAACATCAATGAGAGAGAAACACCGATCAGCTGCCTCCTGCACACCCCCTACTGGGGATGTGCCCATAGCCAAGTTACATGCCCTTGACCGGAATCGAACCCGGGACCCTTCAGTCCGCAGGCTCTACCCACTGAGCCAAACCGGTTTCGGCATAGCCAATACCTTCTGAGAACTTCCTATATGTCAGGCACCACATTAATGACTCTACATGTACATGCTTACTTAATCATCAGGCCCAGACACCTGCTCAAGGTTACCAGGCAGCAAAACCAGGATTTAAATCCATGCCTTGTCTGAGGGATCTGCCTTTTCCACGACCGCCATTTATCAGCTAATGTCGGCCATTGATTAAACATTCAATGACTGGGAAATGGCTGCATGGAGAGAAGTATAGGAGTTACAGTGTCCAATAAAGATAGCCAATCCAGCCCTGACTGGTTTGGCTCAGGGGATAGAGCATTAGCCTGGGGACCAAAGGGTCCTGGGTTTGATTCCGGCTAAGGGCACATGCCTAGGTTGCAGGCTCGATCCCCAGTAAGGGGTGTGCAGGAGGAGCTGATCAATGATTCTCTCTCATCATTGGTGTTTCTATCTCTCTCTCCTCTCTGTTCCTCTCTGAAATCAATAAAGAGATATAGTAAAAATAAGAAAAAAGAAAAAAAATAGCCAATCCAGAGCCTGGCCTAATGTGTACCCCTCTCAGGCCCCAGTCTCATCCCCACCCCACAATGTTTCACAGAGGGTGGCAGCAGGGTCATTTGGAACCCTGACTCAGGACAGTAAGTCTTCAGTGGGGTCACACTGGACTGTGTGACTTCAACCAAAATCCCAG